CGGCGGGGGATGCTCTGTAGCAGCGCGGCCGGTTAGCTCAGTCGGTTAGAGCGTGGTGCTAATAACGCCAAGGTCGCGGGTTCGATCCCCGTACGGGCCACTCGTTTTTCGCCTTGGAGGTGAGGAAATCACTAGCTGTTACTGAATGTTCTTTTTTTTTGTAATTTTTTCTTTTTCCGAGGAGGAAACGTAACTCGGAAATGAAGACGGTAGGCCCCAAGGGGTTGCGTTGCTTCGGCGATCAGAGGGCAGCGAGTGTGAGGCGGCCAGGCGGGGCTCACAGTGCGCGGGCGCCAGCACAGCCTCCACTCAGGTGCCTGAAACCTGCCAGAGGTGACGTCTCACTACGTCACAGGGCGAAGCCAAGCACTTATTACCTCACTCCTCGTTAGTATAGTGGTGAGTATCCCCGCCTGTCACGCGGGAGACCGGGGTTCGATTCCCCGACGGGGAGGAGGCAAGGCGGCTTTGCCTTTTCCTCTGCCGGCCCCCAGGGCGGGGGGGAGCAGTATCTCTTGCTTTTCCCCACAAGGTTCGTGCCGTGGGAAGAGGAGGCAATCAGATCAGCCTGCGGCTGGGAGCAGCGTGAGAAGTGCTAGTTGGAAGAGCCCGGGTCAACCCCCAACAGCTTCCAGGCCTGCCCCGCAAAGGAGGTGGCCCAAGGCAGGTTGCTGTCCTGTCTTGATTACAGCTAAGATGTGCATTGCTGAAAATATTTTTCTCCTCAAAATAAATAGCAAGTCTTCCACTCCCATCAGGTGAGACTTGGACCCCAGCCACGCAGAATCTCCCAGTTACTGATCAGGCAAGTTATACTACTGCAGCACATTTTAAAATGCTTTCCCCTTCTCAAGCCAGTGTAGATAGCCTCAAAATACACATAGTTAAGTACCACCTTTTTCACAACTTCCTGAAAGCAGACTTTAAGGTTTAAAATCATATCAAATATTCCCTTTATTCTTTACAAAAATATTTCTAAAACATCTCAACATTTTCCATGAGTAAGCAGGGATATTTAGGCACAGATAATGCTTTCATTGCACTGGGAGAACACTTCACAGTAGTTTACCATTTTGCGGTCAAACGAAATCAGTTGAGGAAGTTCTTAAGCATGCACAGGAGTCCTGTGAGGGCATCACCAGTCCTTCACAGGGCAACATCAACACGGGGTGATAACATTAGCTGATGAATCTTAAAGAATGAGTTCACATATTTGCAAGTTGTAACAAGTCTACAGCATTGTTAAGGCATCAGGTAAAAGTATAAATAGATACACTAAAATGCCATGCAACAGCAGCTTGAATGAGCTGGTTTTTTTTTGTTCTTTCATAATGGCTCAGTGTAAGCAATCCATCTTGTTCACAGTCTGTGTCAGTGCACCCAGTCTTTGGGATTGCGCAAAACCTCCAGGATTTCTGCTTCTTTTGAGCTCTCTGGAGGGGTGTGCATGTACTCCCACCTGTGGAGAGAGGGGAAACTCACTCAGACTGCCCAGCTGGCTGCCGTCTCTCCCGCACTAGGCTGTGTCTGGACTTGAGTTGCCTTTTCTGAGGATGCAAAGCTAAATACACAGTTGATACTCTCGCATCAGGTAGACAGATATGGCTACACACCATTAAGTTCAATAAACACAAATAACACTGGAAGAGACAGTAGAAATGTTAACTTGATCTTCCTTCCAACTTACGGAAAGGCTGGAAGAACAAAGAAAAAAGAAATGCCCCCTACCCCACAATTCATGAAGGTTTATTTGCAGAGATTTTTTAACAGTCTCTTGTGACACACTAGTGTCACAAGGAAGAACGAGCCAAAAAAGAACCCAGACAAAAGAGAGCAAGGATGCGAGTCCTAAGGGAAATGCCAGCTTCAAACTTTATCATTTGATCCTGATGCAGTACTTTCAGCCACCCAGGGCAAATTTTTCCAGAAGCTGGACTGGAAGCGCTACAAGTCCTTGTTGAATCTTTGTTTTTAAAAAAGTTGATGAGAGACCACTTTTTATTGAAAAGGCAATTACAAGGCATGACAGGAACAAAAGTGTCAGCAGTCACAAAGGAATGGGTACAACCTTTTTCGACTTTTTTCTTCCAGGAAGATCCCATTCATGCTGTTAAGGGAGCTATTTATGCTGACAGAAAGAAGCAGAACCAGACCATCCCCGTAATGAAAAGGTAGGACCATGCTACACCACCAGGTGAGGGACACATCAGGTTTTGGCAGTGGGGTGAAGCTACACAGTATGACCAGGACTGCCTTTATGGTTAAGGGGTAGCAGGCAAAGATGAGTTATCCTAGTGGAGGGAAGCCACTAATGGAGTCTTACGAAATTCATGATGGGGCCTGTGCTATTCAACATATCTAAAAGCAACCTACAAAGGGGCATAAACAGTAAATTACAGTTTGCTGATATGGCAAGACTAAGCAAGATCAGTTAAAACCTAAAAAGGCAGTTGAAAAGAGTTAATATCAAGCCAAGCAACTGAGCAACAAAATGGTAGGTGAAATTCACTGTTGATTGCTACAAAGTGATGCACACAGAAAAAAGTTATGTGCATATTTAGAGACTGAGTTAACTTTTACTGCCAAGAAAAGATCTTGACATCATAACGATTCTATGAAAAAGTCAGCTCAATGCTTAGTAGTGGTCAAAACCAGCAAGCACGTATTAGGATTATGAAAGGAATAATTAACTAAAACGTCATTGTGCCACTGTGTTAGTCATCAGCACACCTGCATCTTCGATACAAATACATAGTTTATGTTGTCTGTTCCTTATCCCCAATTCGGAAAGGGCCTAGAATACTTAAGCCTAGAGAAAAATGGCAAATGGGATCAAAGGTATGGAACAGCTACTGTACAAAGACTAAAAAGCGGAGGACTTGGGCTGGAAAACAACAATTAAAAAAACAGAAGCGTGTAAAATAAAAACTGTTACAGAGAAAATGAACAGGAAGAAAATCTGGTTACTCTCTGAAAAGTTTAATTAAGTCATCAAGTACAAGTAGAAAACAAGGAGAAACTTTTTCACACAACACACAGTTACACTCTGGAACTTCCTTACCACAGGCTTGTCAGGACTGCCATAAGCAGTCCTGGCACAGTTTCAAAGAACTGCTAAACAAAAACCCGTGGAGCAAGCAGGGGAGATTTATCAAGAGGTACTAAGCACAAAAAATACCTATTTTCTTCTTATCAGAAAGTATCTAGGCTATGTTCTAGATACTTTCGTTATTACTAGCAACTGCACGAGTGTAGCAGACCAGAGGAGCACCTGCATGTTATTTGGCCAGTTCTTGTATCAAGCATGAACTAACCACTGTTAAAGAGACTGGACATCAGGACAGAGCTTTGATTGAATCCTATAAAGTATTTTAATAAGAACAGTGCCTACCTGCAACTCCACTTATCTATGTCCTTACCTTGCAGTCAGTGGCAGAGACATAAGAATGCTTTCGATTCTTGATCCTGGTGTCAGGAGGCCAAACTTTGTACCTCTGTCATAAATCAAGTTGAACTCCACGTACCTATGGGAGGAGTGAAGAGATGCAACAGAAAAACAGAAGTTACTTGCGCCTCCTTCAGCTGGCGGACACCAAACAGAACCAGCCTGTCTTTCTGCTGTGTTGGGTGTCAGAACGAATCCCGGTTTGGGGCCAACTGTTCTCTAGCATCCTCTGCATAGGAATGCAAGTGTGACCTTGCCACTCCACAAAGCACAGGAAGTAACAGATGAGCAGACACACTATTCAAGGAGAGCATTCTGCATGGTGTTACACTAGCTTACTTCTCCTAGACCTCAAGCCTGCTGGCAAGCTCGACACCAAATTTAGCTTGGTTATGCTAGTACTCCTTTTTGTGGTGGTGTGATACGTAAGAGGAACCTTAAAGGAACTGGAAATGACCACAGGAAAAACTCTACTGTGCAGTCCTCCATGCTGAAAGACACTTAAGCAGCAAGGTCAGAACAAGATTTTCTGTTTCTTGGGGAGAGTAGAAAAGTAACAGAAGTCAGACAGCTTCAGAGTGCTGGCTGGGACTTGCGAGTGCCAGAACAGAGAGTTTTCTGCCCCCAGCATAGGAACAGAGCAGTGACAATTGAGCAGGGGTTATCTTAGTAACCAGTACTGAGGTATTAGTGCTTAGCAGAGGTACAAGAAGGGAGGAGTGCTTATCTATTTGAAGAAATGCAGCGCTTAGCCTAGCCCAGTAACCTTCAAACAGATTCAGGGAAATAAGCAGGCCTCATGAACCAGTCCTGGCTGCAACCTTAAGAAGCTATTCCCCCTTATAACCTTAGCAGGATCCTGAAAGGCCAACACACTCAGCAATAGCCTCACCAAATTAAGCATATGTGCTTATTTGAATAATAGCTGCAGGGCAGTGATCTAAAATGGAATGCTCTTGCCTCCTCTATGCCAGTCTCAGATTTCCCTGCAGGAGAGGCAGAAACTAAAGACTCCGCAGTTCTGCACAAAGCACATGTGTTCTCATTTCTCCATATGCTTACACAATATCTTGTACTTTTATTGTGTACAAGATTACACATTGTATCTACCAGTACACTTAAGCTTTTGCAGCATTAACAGTTGTTCATGCGACTAAGCATCCTCCAAAGTCTTTTAAGTTACAGTGACTTTGGACCATAGTAGAAAAACAAAACCCCTCTGTGTCTTTATTCCTTTACAAAGAGTTCACTGGGTCCTCAGTTCAATGCCAAGATCAGAAAGGATAAATATGTAAGAAGCTGAAAGTACTCTTGGGTACAGTTATTCCAGGACTTTCTGGGGTTTAGCTTCATTGCTGAGCAGGACGCGTGACTCCCTCACCCTTATGCTCCTCATGTCATGGAGTAATCCTGTATCCCACATCACTGGGCTGCAGGAGAGGGCAGGATTCAGGACAACGTGCACCCCTTTGCCTGTTACAAGCAGCAGCTTCTCTTGGTTTTGAAGAAGTAGCAGAGAAACCATGGAATTTAGTATGGGTTGCTTGTGCTGAAACATGGGAGAGTGGGGGATACAGATGAGGGTGTGCTAGTACTCTCCCCGGCAATCTAGCATTGGATTTCAAAAACAGTTCTGTACACAAAAGTGTTGAAATTCTCTGGCAAGCTTTAGAGTGCTTATACAAACTCGGCCCACAGCACAACAGGACATAAACCCTGCAACCATGAAGAACTAGCTGGTTTTTTCTTGCCAGCAAATCCACCTCCCATGTATTCTTTTGCTCCTTCAGTACTCACCGTCCTCTCCGAAGCTGCTGCCACAGCTTTTCCTCTGGTGTGAAGGAGTCATGGCAGTGCCTTTTCACAATGGGAATGTAACAAGGCACAACAGCTTTGGCACAACTCTTCACAAACTGGAATACTTCCTCCTTGGAGGGAGAGTCCACGTCATCAAAGAATATGCCTCCAATCCCTCTTCGCTCACCACGGTGCTTGATATAGAAGTAGTCGTCACACCTGGAAGAGGTAGCAGGCACTTACTAATATGGTCCACAATATTCTAAGAAATGAACAGAACTCCAGACAGTTACGTGGCACAGGACAGCGCTAGTGAAATACTGAGGCAAAGCCAGTTGTGCAGTGCCGGGTACCGCACGGTTTCACTGATTGCTGTGAGCCAGGACGGTTCTGCACCATCTGGAAAGCACTCCTGTGTTCGCTTACAGTGAAAGTTCTGACGAAACGCTCTCTGCAAAGCTACGTATTGCTGCACAGTCACTGAACACGTAATACTCAAAACACCGTGCAGATGCTTTCATGTGGAATGACCCCATCCATGTCCGCCACTTACGAGGAGGAAGAACATCTGATGTCAAAACTTCACCCTAACAGTTCTTTCTAGATTTCATTTGCAGAATTATATATAGATCCCAAATTATTTGTACAGCTTTTAGATGAACTCAAAATAAACTTGGAAGATAACTTATTCTTTTTGCCATTCTAGTGAAAAAAATTATTTTCTGCATCAAAACTAAAAGAACCTACAAACCCAAGACCAGATATGAAAGCCACCATCACTTAAGGAAAAATCCAAAGTGAGCAGCCTTCCTTGGAAAAAGGCTTTTCAATAGTTAACCTTGGAAGCTGGAGCCATTCCAGCAGTGGCTTTTCATGGCTCATGGTCAAGTTTATGAAGGAGTAAGTGCAGGTTATCCTACAGCAGGGAGGCGATTAATCTCTTTTGTATTTACTGGGAGTATGTAGGCTTGCAATTACTATAAATTAGCTGATTCATTGTGTCCACACCCTGTGTTGCTTATAGCTGCTGGCTTGGGCAATCATGCTCTGTGAGTCTTGACACGGGGGAGAAACGGAAGGGAAGTAGGAGGCAGAAACCAACAGCAAGGAAACCCTGCCTTCCTTTAGGACTAGTTTTCCATGCATGTATCCATCCACAGTTGCTGTTCTCAAGCAATATAAACAGCATGGCCACAGTGAGAGAGATGTGGAGATATAACAGATAACCTATGCTATTTTTTTATTCACTGGGATGATCAGCCTTTTTTTTTTTATAGCAGCAGGAAGAGTTAGGAAGAAATGGGTGAGTCAGAAATGCAAAAGAGAACAAGCCTGACAAAAATCTTAAAGCTATATCAGAAAGATAGCATGGTAAACATAGCGAGAGCTTTTACGTTTGAGAAAGGTGGGAAAAGGGGCAATGCTAATTAGTAGAAGCTCAGAGATGATTCACATTGCTCTGGCAGTGAGAACCGCATGCCCCTACACAGTTGCTGCTTACAGCACACGCTGATGCTGCAACTGAGAAAACAGCCTTTGTCCTCTCCTGAGCTACCCTCAGACTAAGAACAGACTCCTTCTCCCTGACCCCCTGCAGCTGGCATTAAGCCACTGAAACAATCTGACCATTAAGGCAGACACTCTGAACTACCATGCAAAAATTCCTCAGAGAACAAGACTGTAGTCTTAAGGTTATAGTATCTACTTCTCTACTAAGTGCTTCACACCCGAGCTACAACACCCACTTTATCTCCTGTCCTCAGACAAGACCTGGTAGTTTACAAAGGGGTAACTCCTCCTTCCTGGACACCAGAGCCTGTAGCAGATAGGATTATCGGGCACAGAGCAGCAAGCTCCCACTGAACAGTGAAGGATCCCATCACCTGTATCTCTCAGCTCAAGAAGGACTTTCAAAGTTTGCAACTTTAGAGAATACGCTGTTGAACTCTCCGTGTCACTAGAAGACAAGTACAGCTCCATCAAAGCTATAAAGCTTCTACATTAAGGATGAACCCAAAAAAAAAGCAATGAAGACCAGACTGAAGGCAGAAAAACTGGAATGGGATTCCCAGAACTGCAGGGCGGGCCAAGAGCTCACACTGGTTATGCACATTTACCATGAGTTCACTGTAAGCAGAATTAGTGCAAGTCCATGGGGAAAAAGTCTTTGCCTAGTTTAACATCAGGGGCTAAAAGGAATTTTTAAGTTGCATGGTGATCTGTGGCTTACAAAACCTTGTCGTGTCAGCTTGGTTTTTATTTGGGCTATAGACTTCTGATCCTAGTTGTCAGCCCTCTCATTTGAAAAACTCAGGCCTCTGTAAGTAAGCGATTGTTTTAGACTACATTTTGTCCTAGTGCACCTTTACTGATTTTCCTTTGGTCTGCTGGTACTCTTCAAAAGGCAGCAGAACCTGCTGTTCCTAAAGTACACTTAACTGGTTATATCCAGTGCCACCTTCTGCTCCCACAAAAGGAACATCTCTCCCCACATACCATTTCTTGTACTTGGGATACAGCTTCAGATCATGCTTGTCACAGGCTTCTTTCAGAGTCTGGTGAAAATGAACGGCATCCTCTTCATTCAGGTAAGTTGGAGTGAGGTCAGTCCCACCACCAAACCACCACTGTTTAGTTCCTACAGGAGACAGGCGAGCAGCAACATTTTACTTCTGAACTTCCAAACAGAAGTACACTGCTAGTGGTTCACCAAGAACTAACAACTACTTTTACAATACAAACCAAAATCATTATTTAGTGGTGTTCCCAGACATCAATCGTGAAAAATTTGAGTTTGAGGTAGTGCGGTGACTACCTTTCCAGTGACTTCAGGAAAACATGAAAAAAATCTCAGAGCAGTGAAAACCATTTGTTCAGTATTTTGGACTGCTGACCCTGACTACAGGATACCAATTTCAAAGATGGGCTGGCAACTCCTGTTCAAGAATCCAGAAACATTTTACTGCATGCCAAAGAAAGGAAACATCTTCCTTAAATTCAGAGAAGTAACTAACTAGAACCGATCCGTAATGATCTGGCAAAATAACTGAAAGAAAACTCTCTCTGAGCTTCTGACAGTAGGTACACTGTCACACGGGACAGGTGAGCTCTCGGTGTTAGACTGCCTAGTCTAGAGTCCTGCTTCTGACAGCAGCAAGTTGCGGAAACTCAGGGAAAAAAAGGAGAGCAATGTTTCTGACAGTACGTCCTCTCAGCTTCTGAGATAAAGGTACATCCTCACCAGAATGCTTACCAGTCCTACACAGCCCTCTCTTCTACTAAATTCCAGACTTGCTCTTCAAATATTTCACACTTATTTATAACCTCCTACACTTCAACTCAAGTCTGCAACTCCTGGTGTACGCTGCAAAAAGTAAAGTGCAAACACCCTTACTGTGCCAGATGCAAACATCACCTTGATTTTACAAACAGACAAATGAAGGCCCAGAGGTTAAGCGCTTCAGTGCTACACCACAGACTCTTGGCACAGCTGGGAACACACCTGGACTGGTTCTTAACATCTTACCCTAGCCACGCGTTCACGCGTCTTTCACGTAGAGTCAGACGTTTCATACGTACTTCACTGGATTTAAATTCTTACCGTCTGCTTCTTCGATTTCAAAGTATCTGTAGTTGAAGTGCATGGTTGGAACGTGAGGGTTCTTTGGATGGATAACAGAGCTCACGCCCATGGCGCAAAAAGGCAGTTTCCCTAGATAAAAAGATGCACAGAAAAACACCTTCAGCTTTTCTAACAACTTCATTTATTATCATTTAAGGAACATCATTATTTTTCCTTAGGTTCCAAGCTATGTTCTACAACAAGAAAATTTCTGATGTTGGGTCACCATAAGTATTAATCAATGTGCAATCTACTTCTTATCCAGACACTTCTGTGCACCCAACTAAATGCCTTTTTTTTGTATTTGTCCTAAAACGTACCAATATGTCAGAGCACCCATTAGATGAAGATCGCTTAAAACGTACGGCACTACTAAGGCTTTCCACCACCTGCAGTCCTCAGAACTACTCTCTGCTACGTGAATGTGGGTTGAATCCTCTTTATCCTTCAAGTCGTGTTGGTTATTTCCCTCCATCTCTTTGGTACGTAACTCCTGCATTGTTTCCCTGTTGAGCTACAGTGTTTTTACTGAGAAACAACCTGTGCCTACAGCAGAATCATAGAATGGTCTGCATTGGAAGGGACCTCAAAGATCATCTAGTTCCAACCCCCCTGCCATGGGCAGGGAAACGCTCCACTACAGCAGGTTGCCCAAAGCCTCATCCAACCTGGCCTTGAACACTTCCGGGGATGGGGCAGCAAGACAGACGGAGGAAGCACTCTGATAGCCCTGATTTTTAGGGACATTAAAGTTCACCTGCCAGGCTTACTGGCTGAAAACCACCGTGGTACAAATGACACCTTTCTCTGAGCATCGATCAGTCCAGCCTTCCTCACGTTCGGCTCAAAGGCCAGGCTCTGCTGTCAAAGTCCCCGCACGGGAATACTGGGGTGAATGCCCCCTGACTGCCCGCCTCACCTGCCCACCGGGCACCTTACCGTCTTTGGCCTTCAGAGACTTCCCCCTGCTTCTCATCTGCCGCGCCGCCTCCTCGGACAGGACCCCGAACACCACGGACACGTTCACGCCCGCCTTCTCGAAGACCTCGCCGTCCTGCAGCACGCAGCTGATGCCGCCTCCACCTGCCAACGCCACGGTCAAACCGCGCCGGAGCCGGCGCCC